GGGGGAGGGGGTGTGCCTATGCCGTCAGCCTGCTGTTGCTCAGGCTGCCCCCCTCCACCTGACAGTCTGGGGACAAGGCAGGCCCCACCCCTCTCTTCCAATTCCCCAGGGATGGGCAATTCCAGGAACAGGCCCCTTTTGTCTCCGAGCCCAGAGGCTCCTTAGTTCTGTCCCTCCCAGTCAGCAGAGGCTCTGTTCAGAGAGAGGGAGCCGTGGGTGGGAGGCATGTGCCCATTACACTGGAGGATGCTGAGGCCACGACAGGAGTGGAATTCAGGTTGGAACCGGAAACAGAAGGCAGGGTCTCTTTCTCCCAACCCTCTAAATACTCAGGCCCTTGCCCCATTTTGAGCAGGGGCCTGGTACCCAGCTGAGGTGAGGGGAAAAGAAGGGATCCCAGAGAGGGGTGGGCCTGAGCCAGAGGTTGACTGTGGGAGCTTTTAGGGAACCACATGCAGGCAGAGCCAGGGCAAGGCCAGAGCAAGCCTCAGAACACAGGTAGGCAGAGGCCAGCAGGGCTCAGCACCAGGGGTGAGAGCTAGGTTTAGTTCCAACTCTTCCACTAATTTGCTGTGTGACCTTTTGTAAGGTATAACCCTCTCTGAGCATCAATATTTCCTTGTGGAATGAAAGGGGACTAAAGAAGGTGGTCTCAAAGCCCATTGCTAAAATTAAAAGACTGTCTAATCCTTCTCCCAGGTTGTGCCGCCCAGAGGTTGCCACCCCAGGGAGCTTCGCTACCAAACAAGTGTTTACTGGAGGTCAGAGCTTTTACCTTCATTGGCTCACCTAGGTAAGGTGGGCCTGATTAACCTCACTTCACACAGGGACAGAGGGCGTCTCAGCCAGCTGGAGGCACCTGCTCAAGGTCACACAGCAGAGAAGAGGAATGCTGAACCCCTTTGCAGAACCCCACACCTGCCACACAAGTCAAGCCCAGGAAGTCCCTCTGAAGTGGAGGAGGATACGTGGAGGGCCAGCCCCTGCAGGTGTGTATGGAGGGTAGGGTGTGGGGCACTCCCAGCAGCTGAGTCTTGGGTGCACACGCCTCGTGGTAACACGCAGGTTCCCCACAAAAACCAGCGCGCCCCATGCACACTCACCTCGATGTGCACGTGCGCACAGACCCCAACGCCTCTCCTTCCCCGCCCAGGCGCGCTGGTTCCCACCCCCCAGTCCTGAGAGGACGCAGTGGCCTCAGGACGTGTACACGCCTCCACCTCCCCGGTCGTGACGTCACGTGGGGTAGAGCTCTGAGACACTAAATGGGGGGGCAGGGGGAGGAAAGAGAAGGCGGCAGAGCTCCCCAGCCAAGCCGGGACA